CTCGTGGTCGCCTATCCAATTCTACACCAACACCCGTGGTTGCCCATCCAATTCTACATGAACACTCGGGTTTGTTCATTCAACTCTACAGGAATATCCACAGTTGCCCATTTGTTTCTATATGAACGCCAGTGGTTGCTCATCCAACCCTACATTAACCCCCCTTGGTTGCCCATCCAACCCTACATGAACACTCCTGGTTGCTCATCCAACCCTACACAAACACCTGGGTTTGCTTGTCCAACTCTACATAAACATCTGTATTTGTTCATCCAACTCTATATAGACACCCACAGTTGCTCATCCAATCCTACGTAAATGCCCAGGTTTGCTCATCCAATCCTACATAAACACCCATGGTGCCCCATCCAACTCTACATGAACACCTTGGTTTGCTCATCCAACCCCAAATGAACACCCGGGTTTGCTCATCCAATTCTACACAAACACCCATGGTTGCCCATCCAACCCTACATGAACACCCATGGTTGCTCATCCAGCTCTACATGAACATTCGTGGTTGCTCGTCCAACCCTACATGAACACTCAGGTTTGCTCATCCAAGTCTACACAAACACCTATGGTTCCTCATCCAACCCTACGCGAACACCCGGGTTTGCCCATCCAACCCTACATCAACCCTGCCTTGGTTGCTCATCCAACCCTACATGAACACCCGTGGTTGCCCATCCAATTCTACATGAACACCCGGGTTTGTTCATTCAACTCTACAGGAATATCCACAGTTGCCCATTTGTTTCTATATGAACGCCAGTGGTTGCTCATCCAACCCTACATTAACCCCCCTTGGTTGCCCATCCAACCCTACATGAACACCCGTGGTTGCCCATCCAATTCTACATGAACACCCATGGTTGCTCATCCGACTCTACGTAAACACCCAGGTTTGCTCATCCAACCCTACAACCCGGGTTTACTCATCCAATTCTACACGAACACCCGGGTTTGCTCATCCAATTCCGCATGAACACCCGTGGTTGCTCATCCAACTCTACGTGAACACCTGGGTTTGCTCATCCAATTCCACACAAACACCCATGGTTGCTCATCCAACCCTACATGAACACCCATGGTTCCTCATCCAACCCTACATGAACACCCGGCTTTGCTCATCCAACCCTACATGAACACCCATGGTTGCCCATCCAACTCTGCATGAACACCCAGGTTTGCTCATCCAATTCTACACGAATGCCCGAGTTTGCTCATCCAACCCTACATGAACACTCATGGTTGCCCATCCAATTCTACACGAACACCCGGGTTTGCTCATCCAACTCTACACAAACACCCAAGGTTGCTCATCCAACCCTACATGAACACCCATGGTTGCCCATCCAATTCTACACGAACACCTGGCTTTGTTCATCCAACTCTACACGAACACCGGTGGTTGCCCATCCAATTCTACATGAACACCCATGGTTGCTCATCCGACTCTACGTAAACACCCGGGTTTGCTCATCCAACCCTACATAGACACCCAGGTTTGCCCAATTCTCCCTGCCCAAGTTCTCCTGTGTTTGACTTTTTGCAGGCGGTCAAAGAAAGAGAGAAGGAGTTCAGGTCCTACCAGGTGGATAAACCAGCCTTGACCAAACGTCTCCGCTGTGGGAGGTCCTACGTTGTTTCCTGCTCAGCCTCAACCGCGCACATAAAACCCAAGGTAACCCAAGGGGAAGAGTAGGAGAAGCTGCCGCTTGGACCCTAAGCTCTTCGTTCACGTGAAACGTCCCCGTTTTGGGGACATGGAGTTTCTTTTCCCTCGAGCTGATGAGGTTGACCATGACGGACAGCCATGGGGTTGGTTTCTTCCATTGAGTGCATGAGCTTGGCCATGTGGATGGTCATGGGGTTGGTTTCTTTGGCCGTGTGAATGGTCGTGGGGTTGGTTTCTTCCATTAAGTGCATGAGCTCGGCCGCGTGGATGGTCATGGGGTTGGTTTCTTCCATTGAGTGCATGAGCTTGGCCGCGTGGATGGTCATGGGGTTGGTTTCTTCCAT